CTTGGGCCAGTGAAGCAGCGTCCTCCACAACTAGACTGAAGAACAAAAGGACAGCAACTTGTCTGTTCCCCTTCTCCCAATTCCCCAGCACTGTTCCCATCCCCCCAGTTCCCCAATAAAAATCTTTAAAAAAAAAAAAAGATTTTCATACATAAGATTGTGATTGACCTGTTTTTTCTTTCTTTGTCAATTAGTTTCTTTATGAAGCTCTGCTTTCAGCTTACTTCCAAACATTCTTTTAATTCTCAAAAGGAGTACAGCACAAACTGGTTTGATGCTCATCAAATTAGTTTCCTCTTCCGGGAACACAGCTAAACCACATCACCAGCCCCTTGCAACATAACTAGCCATGTGACTGGTTCCCACCAAAGGTCAGTGAATAAAAGTGATGATTAGTTTGTTCAGAGCAGAAGGGGCTTTTTTCTTTCTCTCTTTCCTCTTACACAGAAATCACAGAGGTCACGGAGCTGCATGATGGAAGGGGCTTAGACCCTTCACTGCTTGGAAGAAAATCTCCCATGAGAGCTACCCCACTAGGAAAATCCACATTGGACCTTGTTACTCTATTGAGATTTGGTGTTTGTTACAGCAACTATTACAATACAATACAGTATAGTACAATATAGTACAACACAACACAACACAAGGAGTGATTCCTTAAGATTATACAGTGAAGGGGTTAGCAGAAGCTTTTGCAGCCTTCAAGAAGCTCCTTAAAAAGTTTGAAAACATGGACCCCAACACTGAAAGATTTTCATTAATAGAGAGGCATATCGGTGCATTATCTGCTTACAAGCAAATCTAAGATGAAAAAAAACAAACAAACAGGTAAGCAAACCACCATGGACATATTTCTGAAAAGAGAGACACCTCCTCAAGAAGAGCCTGAGGCAGGTCCTTCAGGGGGTGTCCCAGAAGAAAGCATTGTTATCACAGGAGATAACTACTCCAGCATGTTTTTCACCTCAAGACTTTCCAGTGGGACAAGATGTGGAGAGCCTGACCCTTTGTAGGCCTAAGCTAATGTGTATGTTTATATCTTAATTTTTAACAAAACCTTTTTTTAAAATATTAAAATTAAAAAATGTTAAAGTAAAAAAAATCTTATAGAATAAGGATATAAAGAAGGGAAATATTTTTTGTACAGCTATACACAATATGTTTGTGTTTTAACCTAAGTGTTATTACAAGTAGAAAAGTAAGAGTCAAAAGTTAAAAAATATTAAAAAGCTGATAAAGTAAAAAATGTTACAATAAGCGAAAGTTAATTTATTATTAAAGAAAGAAAAATATTTTTATAAATTTAGAAGCCTAAGTACTGTCCTAGGCCTTCACATTCACTCTCCACTCACTCAGTCACCCAGAGCAACATCCATCCTGCAAGCTCCGTTCATGGTAAGTGCCCTATACAGGTGTATAATTTTTCATCTTTTATACTGAATTTTACTGTACCTTTTCTATGTTTAGATATGTTTAAATACACAAATACCATTGTGTTACAATTGCCTACAGTATTCAGTACAGTAACATGCTGTACAGGTTTATAGCCTAGAAGCAATAAACTATACCATACAGCCCAAGTATGTACCAGGCTATACCATCTAGATTTGTGTAAGTGCACCCTATGATGTTCGCACAACTAAGAATCCCCTAACAATGCACTTCTCAGAACGTATCCCTGTCGTTAAGTGACATATGACTGTATTTAAAATGATGTATCTTTCATGTCTCCACTTATATAAAATATAAGACATATATGAAATGGGATATAACCGGCAAAAGTGGTTTCCTCATACACAATACTCTGTTGTGTACCCAGCACTATGCTGGTGTGTATGGCAGGATAATATTTTTTGAGATATTAACCTAGATCTTTTTTCCTGACATTTTCCCCTCCCCCTTTTTAAGCAGATAATTGTCTCAGAGGGAGGGTGGGACAGGACAGAAAACAAAATATTATGCCTATTGCTTTCCAACAACCTAAATCCATTAAGAGATTTTGCTAGATGCTTCAGAGGTGACTATCAAGTTAGAAAAGGAGGCAGGGAGGGCCGGCCGAGTGGCGTGTTGGTTAAGAGCTGGCTTGGGACGCCAGAGGGCCCCGGGTCGGATCCCACATATGAGGGCCAGTGACACTGCCCTCCACAGCTAAGATGCTGAACAACAGCTCAAC